GACTGGGTTAGGAGGCATAATCCGGTATTCATGGACGCCCAGCCTGGGCACCGCGGACGGTGCCTCCGATCTGGAAATACTCTCCCCTCAGACAGGAAGAGAGAGGCGACTTTTGGGTCACTCCCGACCTCACAAAAGGCTTTTCAAACAAGATGAAAAAAAAAGGGGGGGGGATAAAAAAAAAAGCTCTGAGGCGTTGGGAGAACCCAGTGAGCTTTCAAATAGCAAGGATGGGGTGCGCCTCCAGGAAGGCGGGTGTGAAAGGGTTACAGGCGGGTGGAGGAGGGATGGAGGCCCCCACTTCCTCCAGGTGTCCTTTACGCGGACTTTCCAGTCAGGCTCTTGGCTGCAGGAGGTCATCCTTTTTCCTGTGGCTCGGGCATCTGCTTTCCAGCTCTTTCTGGAAAGCCTGTGTAAGGGCCGCCCGCCTGCATGGGCTGCCTCGCCCACGGCCCTTCCAGCCACACAGCTGGGTTCACCACCAGGGCCCGTGAGCACATTTCAGATGCATTTCCTCCCAGGAGCTCGTAAAGATGCAGGGCCTGGGGCGCCTGGGTGGCTCAGTCGGTTGAGCATCCGACTTTCCGACTTTCGCTTAGGTCATGATCTCGCGGTTGGTGGGTTCGAGCCCCGCGTCGGGCTCTGTACTGACTGCCAGCTCAGAGCCTGGAGCCTGTTTCGGAGTCTGTGACTCCCTCTCTCTCTGACCCTCCCCTGCTCACGCTGCCTCTCTCCCCTAGAAATGAATAAAACATTAAAAAAACTTTTTTAAAAAATAAAATATATGTAAAAAAAAAAAAGGAGATGAGGTGTGGCGTGACATACCCTCTGCTTTGCCAAGGCTGAGAAAGAGGAAGCGTCTTTATTGAATCTGCCCTTGTATCTATCCAGTCCCCAAACCATCTCCTGCTGCAGGTTCCCCCCCCTCCCCACCTGCCCTGATTTTGTTAGGCAAAACTGTTGTGGTATTTGCTGCCCACACTTATTTTTTGGGATCCAAACCAAATCACCATCTCTAAGCTTCCTAGGACCTTACGCCCTAAGGCCAAGAAATCGTTGCCAGGGTGAGAAAGAAAGAGCCACTAGACGTGGACCCACGCTTTGTCTCTGCCCCTCGCATCGGTGCACAACTCCGTTCCTTTCTGCCCTCGGCGGTCTTCCCGGTAACCCGTGTGGACTCGGAGAACGCCACTCGTAGGCGCGTGTTCCTCAAGTGAGCGTTTGGAGCCCTGTGCGCTTTAGTTTTTGTTCTTGCCCGTGTGGGGAGTTGGCGCAGGGGACGCGCTGGCCTGTGGGAGGTAGTTACCTTCGGAGGCGGCTTGCAAGGCGCTCTGAGTCACCCTCACACCCCACAAATGGAGCCATCCTGGAACAAATACTTTAAAAAAAAAAACAACCAACCAACAAAACAAAACAAAACACAAAACACCCTGCCCTGTTTCCTGGCCGTTCTGAAGCTCATAAGGGGCGAGATGTTGCAACAGGGAGGGGGGCAAGTCGGAGCGAACTGCCGGGCTGCGGGAGGCTTGGACGTGATCTCATCGTGCCCGGGCTGCAGCGCGGGCGCTGACTGCTTCCAGGGGGGCACCCGCGGGGCGGGGCGGGGGGCCAGGCCCCAGCAACGCCCGGGTGAGCCTGAGGTCGCCGCGGGCACCCGGACACCCCCGGCCTGACGCCCGTGGGGGCGCCGTGGGCTGACCAGCAGCTCCCACCCCGCGGCTGAAACCCCAGCTGTGCCGGGGACTGACCTCATTCACGAAGTAAACATTGAATCAGATACCAGCAGGCCTAACCCTGGCCGCGTGGAAATAACATGGATGTTTCCATAATTATGAAGCTGCCAATTGGGTTTGGCAAGCGGATCTCTAAATATGTCCATCGGAATGAGTTCATTACCTTTTCTCGCCAGTTTAATCAGGGGCCCGCTGCCTCGCTGCGGTTGAAATGATTTGTACTGAAATGCTTTACTTACATTTCAGTTTTTATATTCCGAATAATGTCCTGGAAAGCAGCGTCGTCTAGCAACCGGAAGACAATACCGGGAGCCGGTGGATTGGCGCGTCGGGGTCGCGCTCACTGTGCGCGCAGGCTACAGGCTCTTCGTGCCCTTGACCTCCTTTCCACCTTGTTCCTTCCGCATCGCGCGGTTGAAAGAAGGTTTGTGACCCCGTGACGGTTGAGACTGTTATACCCAGATCGCAGTATCCTCACCGACCAGAGACCACCAGGGAGACCGAGTCACGCATGCAAAGGCAAAGGGCTTTATTACCGGCTCGAGCTCGGGCTCACAGACCTCACCAGCGCCGTGGATCCTGCTGAGAGCCCCGAGCAAGGGCAGGGTAGGGTTTTTATGGGGTTTGAGAGGGGGAGTTACAGAAGTTGTGACATGGGAACAGTGATCCAATCATAATTATTCAACATCATCGACAGCGGGTTTGACCATACACATTGTCTAGAGTATTCGTTACTTTTGGCGGGATCCAATTACAACGTTTAGAGTACCTTTAAATTTAACCAATCACAGAGCGAGCCTAGGGTCTTGTTCGGCGACTAACGGGTTAACGTTAACATTAGGTAACAGGGTCCTATCTATAGTTTCTATCTCCAGGCCTCTCCCTTAACAATGTGGAGGGTGGTCGATGGCCTTTCCTGATTGGGTGTTGCAAGGGTGGTTACTCCTGCCTTGGGCAATGTGTAGCTGCCTGATGGTTTCGGGGAAGCTGGAACTCAGGCCTTCTAGTTCAGAGGGGAAACTTAAAGCCTGTCACGGAGTCAGTTTGGTTTAGACGTTTAGACTTGTGGCCTTACAAGACCACCGTTACAAGACAAGGGAACCTTCTGGTTCCCAGAAGGGGTTAAGTATCCGTGGCTGCCTTTGTTACCACGGTCACTGTTATTACTACTCTGAACGAGCCAGCACAGAAAATACGGGCTGGCCATAGTTGTAGGTAATTATTTAGCGGTACGTTTACAAGGTGCAAATCAGTAACCACATTCCAGGCATGGCAATCAGAAGCCGAGTGACCAGAGTTATGACCGATCCACTGTGTCACTTACATTGATTACATCGAGTTAATGTTTAGCGTTTCTTAGATAGTCTTGTCTGAGTTTTGATTTGGACGTAACTCAGAGGGGTGTCTTCATTTCGTTCGTAGACAGTTCTGCTGATGCTGATTTTCTGCATTGAGCCCTGAGCTGGATAAGCAGAGGTCCGTCCCGCGGGCCCATGGAGCTGTTTCTTCACCTAATAATGAGAGTGGTTGGCATTTTTCAGTCTCACAAAGTCCCCCCCCCCCCCCGCCATTCAAACTGTTTCCTTTGAATGTTGTTCCAGCTATTAATGAACCCTGCTCCCTATACCTTGAGCCCTCTGTCCACACAGGGGCTGGGGGGGGGGCGCAGTTCCAGAGACTCCCTCCTTCGCAATATTTCGCAATATGAAAGAAAACTGGACCAGAGTGACAGATCTGACGAGCTCGGGCAGCCGTCGCTTCTGCTGTCTCAGGGTACTTTTTTTTTTTTTTAAGTTTATTTACTTATTTTGAGAGAGAGCAGGAGCAGGGTAGGGACAGAGAGAGAGAGAGGGAGAGGATCCCAAGCAGGTTCCTCGCTGTCAGCACAGAGCCCGACTCAGCGTTCAAACTCATGAACTGTGAGATAGTGACCTGAGCTGAGATCAAGAGTTGGACGCCTAAACGACTAGACCACCCAGGCACCCCTGCTGTCTCGGGGTACTTTGAGAAACCATGGAGGGAGGGGAGAAAAAAAGTATTGGATAAACTGAAGGCCAGTGAGCTTAGTTTTGATGACGGGCAAAATGCAAAATTCTAGAGCAGAGAATCAAAGGAATGTTTGTCTCGCATTTAGAAAGGGTGATCATAAGGGTCAATATTGACTATTGAGGGAATGTTTCTCGCTAGATTGGTGAATTGGGTGAGCACTGGGCCATAGTGCAATGACTTCTGACAATTTCACAATGTCTCAAGAAACTCTTACGGAGGAGCACCTGGGTTGCTCAGTCAGTTAAGCGTCCGACTTTGGCTCAGGTCACGATCTCACGTTCGGGAGTTCAAGCCCCTCATTGTGCTCTCTACCGTCAGCGCGGAGCCTGCTCTAGATCCTCTGTCTCCTCTCTCTCTGCCCGCTCACTCTCTCTCTCTCAAAAATAAATAAACATTAAAAAAAGACCCTCTTATGGACGAAACAGTGACCAAAAGGCTGCTAGAACTTGAAGGACCATTAGGTAATCACGTGGCACATCGAGAACTCCACTTTTTAAAATTTATTTTTAAGTTTATTTATTTTGAGAGAGCAAGCATTCACACAAGCGGAGGAGGGGCAGAGAGAGGGAGAGAAGATTCCAAGCAGCCTTTGTGTTAGCGCAGAGCGCGACGTGGGGCTTGACTCACAAACCGTGAGATCACGACTTGAGCCGAAATCGAGAGTCAGATGCTTAACCAAGTGAGCCACCCAGGCGCCCCTAACGTAACACCACTTGCGTAAGACCACACAGCTAATTGGTGGCAAGGCTTGGAATCTGTACCTGGTCTTGTGTCCCAGGTGAAGGGTGGCTCCTGGGTGTGGTGAGGTGGGGTCTTGACAGCAGATGGGACAGCGCCCTTCCGGGGCTTTCTCTAGCGGCTTGCCAAACAGTTCTGTCCTTGGCCCTAAACCCTTTAACATTCTATCAACAACTTGGATGAAGCCAAAGATAACTGCTTATCAACTGTGCAAATAACACAAGTCTGGGAGGCAAGGCCAACACGTTGGAATTAGAGAATCAGGATCCAAATGATCTCAGCGGGAAAGAATGATTGGTGGACTGCAGCGAGATAACATTTAACTGGAATACACGTAAGGTCCTGCATTTAGCTCCAAAACTAGATTGCAAAAGTATAGGATGTGGTTGGAAAACATGTCCAACCTCACCCATAATCAAAGAAATGCAAATTGAAGCAACCATGAGATAATCGTTTTCTTTTATCAGATTGGCAGTGAGTAAAAGAATTAAAAATTCCCAATTTGGTGGCTAGGGTGTGGGGAGATAGGTTCTCTCTCGTAAACCACTTGTGGGTGTGTAGACAAAAGCACCCTTGCTGGAAACTGATCTGGAAATAGAGAGCAAAAGCGACGGAATGTACCGTTTGTCCCAACAGCTTGTTTATAGAAATGTATCCGGAGACAGGTATGCAAAGATTTGTGGACAACAATATTCGTAAGGGCACCACTAGGAACGCTTTGGGAGGGGTGTGTTCAGCTGGGGGACAGAAGTCTCCGAGCCTCAGAAGGGTACCACACAGGTATCGTCAAATCCTGATGCTGTGAGGAGGGAGAATCGGGGTCCTTGTAGCTCCTGAAGGCCAGGACTAGCTGTGGCTTCGTATTATACAGCAGATTCTAACAACGAATCCTGTTAAAAGTCGGGATGGGCTGGCTGCCTGGTACATTCCCCATCGCTGGCAGATGGCCCTCCCTCCAGGGTGTCAAAGAGGAGAGTCATTGCTCTTTAGGCATTGGGATCAAATTCTTGTCTCGGTTCCTTCCAATGCAAAGGGGCAGTGAGTCTTTGCTGCATTACATCATCAAGGGTGGAGACACCATTCAGGCTGAAGGTGGGTGGGTGGTCACACCAGCTTTTGCTTCCTGACACTGAATTCTGAAAATAAAGTGAGAAGCCCTCTTGCCATGCATCTAATGCCACTCTGACTGAGAGTCTGACCATCCCCTTCACTCCATACCTTTCAGGAACACCTGTTGCGTATTGATTCTCCAGACGTGCATCTAAGGGAAGGTTTTGGCTGAACCTGGAGAAAAGAAATAAAAGATGTGTGCTGTTTCTCACCAAATCATTTCCATTCCATTTTGGCTTCCAGTAGACAGATCTACAGGGTAAGCATTCCACTGCTCCATTTATACCTTCCCTCCTTTGTGTTAATTTCATCCAAGTCTTTCTTTTTGTTTTCTAAATTTTTAAAATGTTGATTTATTTTTGAGAGAGACAGAGCACAAGTGGGGGAGGGGCGCGCATGCGCGCACACACACACACACAAACTGACACTGGGCTTGAACCCATGAACTATGAGATTATGACCCAGACGCTTAACTGACTGAGCCACCCAGGTGCCCCTCATCTGAAACTTTCTTTCTTTCTTTCTTTCTTTCTTTCTTTCTTTCTTTCTTTCTTTCTTTCTTTCCTTTTTTTTAAGTTTTAATTTTATTTTTCAGAGAGAGAGAGAAAGAAAGAGCAAGCACAAGCATGAGCTGGGGGCTGGGGATGGGCAGAGAGAGAGGGAGACACAGAATCTGAAGGAGGTTCCAGGCTCTGAGCTGTCAGCACAGAGCCTGATGCAGAGCTTGAACTCATGAACTGTGAAATCATGACCTGGGCCAAAGTTGGAAGCTCAACCGACGCAGCCACCCAGGCGCCCCTCATCTGAAACTTTGAATCTGAGGGGCGCCTGGCTGGCTCAGTCAGTAGAGCATGGGACTCTTAATCTTGGGGTCATGGGTTTGAGCCCCATGTTGGGTGTAGAGATTACTTAAAAATAAATAAACTTTAGGGACAGCTGAGTGGCTTCATTAAGCATCTGACTCTTGTTTTCAGCTCAGGTCATGATCTTACGGTTTGTGAGTTTGAGCCCCACATCGGGCTCTCTGCTGTCAGCATGGAGCCCACTTTAGCTCTTCTCTCTCCCTCTGCCCCTCCCCTCCCCTGCTCATACTCTCTCTTTCTAAATAAATAAATAAATAAATTTTGAGGGAGAGAGCAAGAGCGGGGGAGGAATAGAGAGAGAGGGAGAAAAGATCCCAAGCAGGCTCTGTGCTGTCAACGCGAAGCCCAATATGGGGCTTGAACTCACAAACCTCAAGGCCATGACCTGAGCCAAAATCAAGAGCCACCGACTGGGCCACTGAGGCATTCCTAAAACACTCCTGGTTAACTCTTTACTGGGCTGTAACTTGAGATGCTCTCCGAAAGTCACGCAGCTCTGGAGCTGGGAGTAGACTTCCTCCAGGACACTGGTGGTCAGAGTGATCTTTTCAAAAGGCAACTCATCCGGTCACCAGCCACAGACCTCGGGGCCTTCGGCGCCCTGCATTCTGCTCGTCTGACGCCCAGTGTGTCTCCTACCAAGACCCCTCACTCTGATCTCGAGCCACCCGGGGCTGTCACTTCTTCCAACTTGTCACTCCCCTTCCAAGCCATAGAGTTTCTACGCAGGTTCTTTCCTCTGCCCGGAAGGTTCCCGGTGTCCCCTCTCTCCTTCCTGTGCATCCTTTGGGTCTTAATTAATGCCCTGAAATGAACTGTGCTTCAAACTGTGCTCCCAATTCATGTGCAGAAGCCCTACCCCCCCCCCCCCCACCCCTTGTGACTATATTTGGAAACCGGACCTTTAGTGAGGTAATTGTGTTCGAACGAGGCGGTTAGGATGGGCCCTAATCCAATCTGACTGGCGTCCTTATAAAGAGATTAGGACACCTAGAGTGACACCAGGAGAGCAAGTGCACAGAGGAAGGGCCATGTGAGGACACGGTGAGAAGGTGGCCATCTGCAAGCCAAGGAGAGAGGCCCCAGAAGAAACCAAACTTGCCGACACCTTGATCTTGGCCTTCTACCTCCCAGGACGTGTGTTGGTTAAGCCCTCTAAGCCCAGAGCTGACTAATACAGTTAAGAAGTCATCCCCACAGGGGTGCTCTTCTCCACACCCCTCCTGCTTCGGCCCGAAGTGGCTTTCCTCCGTCACACCTGTCACAGTTTCCGAAAATCCATTTATTTGGATGATTATATGGCCACTGTCTGTGCCCCTTCCTCAGGACATTGACTCAGGGGAGCAAGGACACCTGTGCAGTCAGGTTCTCAGCGTGTCTCAGCGACGAGCACAGTGCTTGCTGCTCATGTAGGAAGGGGTTCCATACTGTTGGGTGACACTGAAGCATTGTTTTGCCAACGTTAAAAATGAGGCTTTTGAGGCTCTGAAAGGTTAAATTTCCTAAGGGTCACAAAGCAGCTAAGCAGCAGAGCGGGGGCGGCAACGCAGCCCCCGCAGCTCTGGCTCTTAACCACGACATGACACTCTGATTTTAAAATGTTTTTTGGAATCGTAATCACCTGGCTGAGGTAGGGTTTTGTCAGTTTCCTCCACTATATTCCTCTTTTCCTCTGTCCCTAACTGTCCGATTTTGAAGCGTATCTGTTCACTCAATAGATACTAACTGAGCACCTCTCACATGTCAGCTTCTGTCTAGGAATCGGGAACACAGCAATGACAAGAGAGACAAAATCGCTGCCTTCCCACGGAGCAGGACATCAAATAAGAACACTAAATTTTATGGTATATTAGACAGCAATAAATGCAGTGGATCTCAATGGGAATGAGGGATTGGGGAGTCAGATTAGTAATTTAAAATCAGGAGGTTAGAGAAGGGTTTTTCGAGTAAGGAATGTTTGAGCCAAGCCTTGAAGGAGGTGAGGGAGGGAGCCCTGGGGATGTCTGAGCACAAGCTCCTTGCAGCGGTAAAAGCAAGTTCAGTGTCCCAGAAACAGAAATAAGGCTGGGAAATGACCCGTGCGGCTGTAGTAAAGTGAGTCACGGAGTCACAATTAGGAGAGGGGCTCAGCCAGGTCCCAGGAACCTGGTGGTAGAGACCATTTCTGGCCACGGTGAAATGTTGCCTTTCATTCAATGAGAAGGGAATCTTTGGAAGGTCTTCACAGAGGAGCCACATGATATGACTTTTAACGGAATAACTCAGGCCAACATGTGAACACAGACTAAGGAGGAGACGGTGGAAGGCAGAATCTAGGAGACAGGTGAGGAGGCCATTACAATAATCCATGTGAGAGATGGTTGGTCAAAGACGGTGTCAGTCTTTTTGAAGAAAAAGCCAATAGGATTTACCAAGAGGACACGCTGAATGTGGGGTGAAAGAGTACTCAAGGTTTGGAGCTTGAGAAGCTGGAAGGATGGAGGTACCATCACAAAGAACACAGGCAGAGCAGCCTTTGGTGGGAAAACTGGGGAATTTTGCTCGAAAAGCTTGCCTACTAGGCATTCAAGGTTTGATGCTAACCAAGTAGTTGCATATTCAAGTATGCAGGTTCAGGGGAGAGGACCAGACTCTCATCAGCAAAAACAGAAAGTCAGGAAACTAAATGAAATCACTTAAGATATTACGTGAAAAGAGAGAGAAGGCCAAGGAGCCAGTCCCAGGGGGGCACCACTACCTTTAGAGGTCAGGGAAAAGAGGAGGAACCAGCCAATGCGATGGGGAAACAGGAGCCAGGATGCAGCAAGAAAACCGAGTGTGCAGTCCCACCAGCTAAGTGAGGAAGGGTTTGATGGGAGGGGAGGGTGAGAACCGTTTCAAATGTTGCTGACAGAGCAGATAAAAAGAAAGGGAGTGTGCCCGGAGAGGGTACAGGGAGAGGACAGCTAGAGACGCGAATGTCTGCATTCTTTTAAGGAGCTTTGATATTCGGAAAAAGAGAGAGAGATGAGCTGGGAACTATAGGAAGAAGTAGAGTCATTAGAAGGTTTTCTTAGGAAGAAATCCTATATGTTAATATGTTTACGGGAAAGCTCTCATTGAGGAGAAACCGAGGCTAAAAAGGTTAGGTCACTCTTGGCACTAAGTCTCCTGGGTCAGATTCTTCTTCCCACCTGATGCTGCTTGAGTGATAAATTGAAGCCTTATGGAATCCAGTCTGCACAGGATCCAGTCTAAGGCAGTTTGAATTTCTACATTATTCGGGCCAGAGGCACATCGGAGATTTATGACCTTAGGTGACAAAGTCTCTCCAATTGCACCTTGGGCTCTGACTCCAGCTTAGGGGGTTCCCGGGAACTGCCCGCCCCCACCGGGCGACAGCGTCCCAGTTGCCATAGGAACCCGCGCCGCGAGCGCCCCTCCGGGCCTCCACGCTCTTTGGAAACCTCACCTACGCAGCTTAGCGGTTCTCCTCCAATCGCGCCTCGGAGGCGGGGCTCGACGCGCCGTCTCCACGGCAACGCCGCTGCCCGTCGGGGCCCCGGGCTGCGGCACCGCGGGAGGCGCGCTCAGATGACGTCACGCACCGCGCCGCTTGCGTGACGTCACCCTGGCTCCGAGGAGGGCCCCGCAGACCTGCAGAGGTGAAAGCGAATAGGGCGTCGGATGCCGCGTGGGCGTGGTCTCAGGTTGGGGCGTCTGTAGCTGGTAGACCCCTAGCCGTGAGCCAGTGAGGTCAAGGTGGGCTCGCTGCTGCGCCTCTAGTCTTTCCCGGGAAATCATCGGAGGTGCTGCCGCCCCGTCAAGTATCCGAGAATCAGACAATTCGGTCCCTTCTCGTCGTCGGCCTCAGACGTCTCCTGGTGCAGTCCTCGTCGAATCCATAATGCCGCCTCCCAGTCCGAAAATTCTAGTTGAATTCCCAGATTGCTTTTGCCAGCAAGTTTCCTTAGCAGCCCATCTCCTTTTCTAAACCGGCGCCTGTAAGATCAGCAAGCAGAGTGTTTGGCTCTGCTTGTAAAGTAACGGTAGCTAGACTCCACTGAGGGCCTCAGAATTTCTCCGAGTCAGGATTTGAACTTTCGAGGGCTTGGGACTTCTCTTGACTGCTTCTGGTTCTTTCAGATTTTTTTTTAAAATATTTTTTTATTTATTTCTAGGAGAGAGAGAGAGACAGTGTGAGCAGGGGAGGGTCAGAGAGAGAGGGAGTCACAGACTGAAACAGGCTCCAGGCTCTGAGCTGGCAGTCAGCACAGAGCCCGACGCGGGGCCCGAACCCACGAACCGTGAGATCATGACCTGAGGGAAAGTCGGACGCTTAACCGACTAAGCCACCCAGGCGCCCCTGTTCTTTCAGATTTTTAGCTAGGATCCAGACGGCCGACGTGGCTGGGTAAATGAGCTCCGGGTAGATGAAGTGTCATTGTTCTGAAACTTAGGAAGCTGCCGCTTCTGTTCTGCGCAGTGCTGACCCTGGGCGTACAGTGATGATGACAGTCCCTGCCAATAACGAGAACTCCTTTTGTTGACTAATTCTAGAAACATTTGCTGGCCATCAACTTGGGTGGTAGGCACAGTTTAGATCGGAAGAATGAAGCGGTTTTAGGATCTAGCATGTGGCTCGAAGTCAGATTTGATTTTGAGCCCTGGCTCTGCTGAGTGATCGTGGTGCGTCCACATCCCGTCTGCACCTTGATTTCCTGATTTCTAAAAATGGGCATCATAATGCCTACCTCCTAAGGGTGACTGATTAAGAGTTAAACCTCAGGGTACAGTTTGGAGGAGGGGGGTGCTTTTCTATTTTCTGATGTCTCTTCCCTTCTCAGTCCCTGTCTGTCTCGGGCTGTCCACGGAGGACATCGCCACTGGTGGAAAACAGCCTCCTGACCAGCACGCAGCCTCGGAGGTCGTCCACAGATTTAACTCAAATTGTTTTAAAAACAGCTCTCACCCAGACTCTGCTTTCTGTGGGTCTGTGTGCTGAGGCAAAGTTATATTTAGGCGGAACCCTCCTACCTCAGCCCCAAGAAAGCTCCTCTAAAACCACCTACATCCAAAAGGCAAAAACAATCCCTTTCTTCAAGTGCCTGGTGTCTTGAAGCCAAACATGTGCCGGTGGGTTGGAGGGTGGCCTGGGAGACTGGGTCAGCTCCTGGGTCACTGTCTGGGGAAGGAGGAGGCACCGTCAGGGTCTGGGAGCGAGTGTCTGGCTCCCTTGTCACCACAGGGCCTGTGGTTTCCAGCCCTGTCTGCATCCACGTCTCACTAAACAGCAGTGGGAAAGCAAGCAGACTTGTACACCAGCAGACACACACACACACACACACACACACACACACACACACACTCAGGCTTGCACAGCCTGCAGAGGAAGTGGGGCACCAGATGTTCTGGGTTTCCTGTTCGATGCTTCCACAGCTGGTCGAGTCTGTGGTTGCGGTTTGTCTGTCTCGGGCTCATGTGAGAGACAAAAGCTGGGCTGACGGGAAACCTCCCCTCTGCCCCCCCTTCCTCGGCTCTAACTGATCAGTCACACGGAAACCTGGCAGGTCAGACGTTTCCTGAAACACCCGGAGCCTGGATTCTCCCAGGAGGAACAGCAGCCTCTGGGCCGAGGGGCAGCCCTCACAGAGCCTAGTCAGGGGACAGAGACATCTCCGAGTTTACCGTTCATAGAGAGCTGCATCCCTGCTGGACGGGAGGAAGCTGAGGCCAGGTTGCCACAGTCGCCAGTCGGGCGCCTGGCATAAAGCAGCCGCCCAGAAACTCTCAGCATGGGGAGAAGCGAATGAGGAACAGGGAACGTCTCTGGGAGCTGGATCTCAGAGCTCCTGCCGGCCCTCGCTTTTCATGAGCGGCGCTGGATTCAAACAGACAAGGGGCTGCACCGTCCCCATGTTCCTGGTTTGCTGCGAGGAATCCACCTCTCTGGGCCTGGTGTCCTCATCTGTACAACGGAGACGGTCCTATCTGTTTCACAAATGTGTGAGGCCCGATGAGACACGTGGGTTTGCTCGCTAAGCATCTTGTCCATAGTAACTGCTCAATAAATGCCGGTTCCCTTTTGTCTTGAGACCACGCAGGTTATGTAAGGATGCAGCAATAAAGCAAACAAGGCAACCAAGCAACCGAGATACTGATCCCAGGACCACCACCCGGTGGGGCAGTGGAGCAAGAGTACTAGCACTCAGTACTCCACTGAGTGGAGTCAGTATCCATTGTGAAGGGACGGGATGAGGACGCTGGCAGAGGGGGTGGGGCTGCCCCCGGGTCTCTAAGCTCTGGGAGGCAGCACCCAGTGTCTTCCTCTGGGCATGGAGGGGGCTTAGCAACTGGGGGTTCTCCTTCACCCTTTAGCTCAGTAGTGATATTAATCGTTATGGCTGCTGTTCAGCCCGAACTTGGACCTGGCCAACGGGAACTCTGCCCTGAGCCCGAGCTTCCGACGGGCTCCCCTGCGGCCCTCCTGCGTCTGTAGCTGTCCCTAGGGGAGGGAGGCGTTCACAGCCAGCTGTTGGCTCCGGCACTTAGGAGCCAGCTCTGCAGCCTTGGGCAAGTTCCTTCACCTCTCTGTGCCTCCGTTCCCTCGTTTATGAAACGGGTACGATAATAACCATGTCGCCAGGCAGTCGTGATGATTGCATGAGTGGATGTGTGAAAAGTACTCAAAAGAGCTGCCGGTAGGTGGTGAGGGATCATTAAATGTCAACTGTCGTTTGCCGAAATGCACTGCATTCTCACAGTGACCTGGCTACAGGTGTATTCCGTGACGAGTTCCATTTCACAGATGAGACAATGCAGCTCGGGGAGATGAAGTAAGTTTTGCAGGCTCACACGGGTGGTAAGTAGGAAGGCTGAGACTTTGCTCCACTTCTTTTTCATGGGTGAGGTTTTAACCACCTCCACCTCTTTTCTTCTTGGAGTACTTTCCTCCCCACCCCCACCCCCACCCCCCAGGATGCTCAGCCTCTTCCTGACTCCAGGACTTCACCCCTGCAAGTCTCCAGCTGGATTTCAGCTCTCAGGGCAAGGGCTTGACTCCTGACTAGTATTTTCCCTGCGGAAACTTACCTCGCAGAGTGACTTCTTACAAGCGATTGTTCCTAGCGGGGGGGATAACCCGGATTAATTCATCAGAAGTGTTTCTGGGACTATTTGTATTTTAACCCAAAGAAATGGTTCTCTGGGGAGAATTGCACGCAGAGGAGTTGCTGGCGTTTTAGTTGGGGAGGTGGGCTTTCGCTACGCGCTCAAATGCCCCCGCTCCGGCGCTAGCTTCATCTGATGGGAGAGGCAGGGAGGTGTGGCGCCAGGGTTCCCGAACTTAGTGTAATTACTGCCTGAGGAGCTTTGAAAGCGCAGACTCCCAGGCCCCATCTCTGAGTCTGAGAGCTACACTTTGAGAAGTACTGGTATTGTGGTAAGAGACGCAAGACCTAGGTTCAAGTTCTTTAATTAGCTGTGCAGCCTCGGCAGTACGTTAAATCCTTCTGGGTGTCAGTGTCCTCGTCTTGAGAACTGGAATTTGGACTCTCTCCTGCGCCTCATGGGGGATCACCAGTGGGAGTGCTTTGTGTCCTGTTAAATGCTTTGGGGTGTGAGAAAGGCATGGGTGTTCCGCCAAGTGCTGCAGAGACCTTCAAAGGAAGGCATGGACCCAGGCCCGAGCTGCAGGGAGGTCCCCCAGATCTTTGGTGAGATAGCGGCCCCTGAATATAGACTCTCATAAGCAGGGGAAGGCTGCTGGCCAGAGCCTCCTGCACGCTGGCCTCTCCCAATGACCAACACAGTAAACTCTACCGGAGCGTGCCAGTAGCTGGCACCCATTAGGGTACGGCTGCTGATGCCACGGGAGCAATCACCCCCTGGGCCCCAGCGACCGAACACAATAGAAGTTTATTTCTCGCTCGACACATAGGTCCCAGCGGGCTGGTGCACGGGCCTGTCCCACTGTCCCTCACTCAGGGACGCAGGGGGACAGAGGCCCTATCCTGTAGCCTCATCATCTGGAACATACAGCTCCCGTGGCCCTGTGGCTGGGGAAGAGAGCCTGCAGGATGGGGCATGGGCTTTTTACTGCCTTGGCCTGGCAATGACACCCATGCTTCCTGCTCACTTCCATTGGCCCGAGCTAGTCACATGGCCCAGCTCGGACATGCAGGGAGCGCGTGGCATACTGGGTGACCATAATGGTTTCTGCCCCAGGACACTTGCAGGGGGGAGGAGATCTGAAAACGCTTGGTCCAGATTTCTGGCTTGGGCACGGAGACCCCCACGTCCCTTGAGAGTAAAGGAAGGAATGACCTCTCTGTTGAATGGCTCTCATACCTACATTCCGAGGGGCTCAGC